GGGGCGCGGCTCTCTCTGTCCCGCTCCGAGCGCAGAGCGCGAGCAGCTGCGGGCCGAGGCCAGCGAGCGCTTCGCCGCCGGCTACATCCAGTGCATGCACCAGGTGCACACTTTCGTGTCCACGTGCCAGGCCATCGACGCCACCGTCGCCGCCGAGCTCCTCAACCACCTGCTGGAGTCCATGCCGCTGCGCGAGGGTGGCAGCTTCCGGGATCTGCTGGGCGATGCCTTGGCCGGGCCACCGGGAGGCCCCGGGCCGAGCGGCCGGCCAGCGGGAGGGGTCGCGGGGTCCCCGCTGCCCAGTCCCCCAGGCCCCGGGGATGACGTAGGCTCCGACCTGGAGGAGGCTGCCGAGGCTGAACTGAGCCGAGCGCCTTCCGAGGGGTCGAACTTGATGTCCGCGGCCCTGGGCGGCCTGACCTCTGCCCACATAACCCACAGCGTCTGGAGGCCTTGGTGACTGACGCCCTGGCAGGGTCTGCTGGGGTGGACCTGGCCTTCCTACATGTACTCCTTCCTCTTCCTGGGATGGGCTGGGGCAGCCCCTAGGTCTGCCTTCCCCCCTCCCCCAGCAGGGCAGCCCTGTGACCAGCCTGACCCAAGCCCTGGCCTTGTTCCTTGAATGAGCCATTTTATGGACCCCACCACTCCGGTGGTGGGTGGGGGAAGCGATAGGCAGGAGAGGGGCTTGTGGAGTTAGGTGGCCTTCAGCCATCTCCACCTCTGGTCGGGCACTGTTAGGGGCACAAGAGTCACGGGCAGAGGGAGCCAGCAGGTGGTGGCAGCCCTGGCCTGGGTGGCAGCTTGAACTTGCCCTTCACCGGGAAGGCACAGGAGCTTCCCAACATCTTGGCTTTTTAGTTCATTGGAGTTTATTAGGTTACCCTCCAATGTTCCGAGTTTATTAAATAAAGGATGCTGTGGAGTTAGTCTCCCTCTGGAAGCTTTCCTGAATGGTGTGTATCAGTGTGTCAGAGGGTATGTGCTCAACAAGAAAGATATTTCTGTGTCTAACGTTCGTGCCCGTCTTTCCATCTTCCCACCCTTTATCAGCACAGTGAGGAGGCAGTGGGGCTGGGGCAGGTCTGGATGGGCCTACTTCCCTCCACCCCCAAGCCTGGGAGCCCTGGACGCACATCAGGGATGCGAGTGTTGTCTCCAGGGCAACAGCTGTCCCTCAGTCACAAGCTTCCAGAAATCAGAGGGGCTAATGCCTGATTGGAGGAGCCTTGTGGCTCGTGGCTAAAGCACTCGGCTGCAAACCAAAAGGTCTCCACAGGAGGAAGATGTGACCACCTGCTCCATAAAGATTAGAGCCTTGGAAACCCTACCCTGTCCTCTAGGGTGAAATCAACAGCAAGGTCTCAGTATGGAGGTTTAATGCCTAAGTGCTAGCGATTTGGTTTGGAAATTCCTTTCAAGGCCTGTGTTAGAATCCATGGCAATCTGTGGGTGTCAGCTTCTCCCTGGGAGGAGATCCACCCAGCCCATGGCTTGAAGTGAAAGTCCCAGGGCCCCAGACAGCTTGGCCTTGAGGTCCAGCTGGGCCCAGGCCAGCAACCGCAGGGAAGGAGGGGGCAGGATGGCACCTGGGTCGGGGCTGCAGTAGAACCTCATGAGCTGACAGCAGTCTCCCTGCACAGCTAGGCCAGACAACACTGATGCCCCTGGGCTAAACCGACCGTGTCGTGGACACTGGCTCCCTGTCCTCACCTCTCCTTCCTCCTCCACTCTGGCTGCTGTTCCCATTCCCGTCCTCAAACCGCTCACCAAGATCTACAATGGCGGCCGTGGTCCCAAACCCAGCCCTGTGCAGCCCTGATTTAGGCACCTTGCAGGTTAGCAATCTCACTCCTCACGGATCATCACTCCCACCATCTTGAAACATTCTCTTCCCTAAACCTCAAGAACATGCCCCCCCCCCGCACTTCCTACCTCACCACCCTCTTCTACTAGGTTCTCCCAACCTCCAGCTGTACTATGTTCCAAGATTCTGTCCTCTGCCCTTTCCTGTTACTGCTCCCACCCCAATAACCCCATCAGGCCCCAAGGCTTGTTCCATCTGTTTGTCCCCTCCCCCACATCCTCCTGTCTGCTCATTGTCTCCACTTAGCGGTCAGCTTGGCATCACAACTCATTACAGCCAACACATACAACTGATTCTCACTCGCCAAACGCTGTCTCCCCCAGTCTTCCAGGTGCTCTGGTGGCATAGTGCCTAGGGCACTTGACTGCTAACCAGAAAGCTGGCGGTTCAAACCCACCAGCCACTGCTCGGAAGAAAGGCTGGTCAATCTACTTCCATAGTGATACTGCCTCGGAAACTCAAGGAGGGGTCGCTAGGAGTCGGATCTGAGCAGTGAGTTTAAGGAGCTCTGGTAGCGTAGTGCCTAAGGCATTTGACTGCTAACCAGAAGGCTGGCGGTTCAAACCCATCAGCCACTCCTCGGAAGGAAGATGGGGCAATCTACTTCCGTAGTGATACTGACTGGGAACCCAAGGAGGGGTCGCTGTGAGTCGGGTCAGACTCGAGAGCACATAACAACAACCACCAGTCTTCCCACTTCCTGGCATCCTACTAATCTGACGACAAATCCACCAGTCACCACCATCTGCTTCTTTTCCTACCATCCACTTCCAATCAAGTCCTTGAACTCTTGATCTAAGTTCGGTGCGGCCGGTCCTCATCTTCGCCATCCACCTAGTGCGAGGCATTGTCATCTTTCACCTGGACTTCTGCAACAGGCCTCGAACTCGCTTCCCTCCTACACTCGCACCGGGACAGCCGCTTGTGTTCCGTGGCAACCGGGCGGCCGCTTCCCGTCCCGTCCTAACACGCGGGGACAAGTGTCTGCACCTCACCGTGGCATTCAAGGCTCGGCCTGACCTAACCTCCCACCGTCCTCAACTCTCGCTGGAGGCTTTGCCCTTGTGCAGTTCTCTGCACGCGGAACCTGCCCCGGGTTTCCGCTGCGTCCTACCTGGCCTGCCTCGGAGGGAGCCTCCCCGAGCCCCCAGCTCTCGGCCTCGCGTCCCCCAGACATGGCAGTTATCCTGCCCTATCCCAGCCTGTAGTGTCCACGTGCTTCCTGGGATGGGGTTGGTCGCAACCGGAGGGCTCAGGGCGCGACCCGCCCCTGAGCAATCCCGAGGCGGCCTGGAGCCGCTGTGGCTCGAACAGGAGACTTGGGAATCTGGGAGCCTGCGCACCGCAGCGACCCGCGCGCGGGGTTCGGCGCTGCAGCGCTCGCAAGCGCTCGGAGACGCTCACAACCGCCGGGAGTCTAAGCCACGCCCCCACCCAGTCCCCAACCCGCGAGAGGCTAGCCGCGGGGCCTCCTGGGAGATGTAGTTCGCGCCCTTCGACTTCCTCCTTCTCGAGGCCTCCGCAGGCCAAGCCGGGACTACGACTCCCAGAGGACTCCGTCCCGCAGCCACTCCCGCCGCCGCTGCCGCGAGCTCTGAACCTGGTACCCAGGGAACTCCTGCAGTTGGTTAAGCGACAGTCCGGCAGAGGCTGGACTGCGGTCTCTCCGGCACCCTGGGACCAAGAGGGAAAGGGGTGAGGAGGCGCCGGCGCTCCACAGCTCCCCAGGCCCCGCGGGCCTCCGCAGCTCGAGCCGAGCTTGGAGGCGCCGCCACCTCTGGGCGTCGAGGGAGGAGCTCCGGCCCGCTGGGCGATGGGTGTCTCCGAGACGTCGGTGTCTTAAAAGCTCCGCATCAAAGGCACCAACGCCTGAGTCGAGGGGCGGGGGAGAGCATGCCGGCTGTGGGCTGGAAGCAGGTTTCTGGAGGAGGAACAGCACGCCTCTTTTGTCAGCATCCCTTCTACGGATGTGACACCAGGTCTGTGCGGAGGCACGCGGGACAAGGACAGGTCCCTGCAGGCTCCCAGGATCAGCCAGAGCCTGCGGCGAGAACCGCAGTCCCGTCAGCCATCCAGGGAAAGACACAGGCATTTCCTGGCGGCGAGTAGCCAGGGACAGCCGGATCCGACCAGATCAGGAATGTGCCCTCCGCCTAAACGTGTCCTGAACGGGAGGCATAGTGGCCCAGAAAGTTTCTAGCTCCTCATGAACCCACCCAGACATTTTTCTTCTCCACCCTCATGTCAGATATCGGCCTCCATTTGGGGACCAGGCCCTCTAGTTCTGCTCGCGGTTGTTGCCAGGCTGTCCACTAACCTGACAACAGGTGGTGCTTGGGGTGCTGACTTCGTTTCGCATCTGGACCCTTGCCCACCTTGACCTTGAAGAGTCCCGTCTGCACCCTAAGACTCCTCAGTTAGCGACCATGGCATAGACCATGTTGTCCTCCACCATACCAGCTCCAGAACCTTTAGCTCCAGCCTCTGTTTTTCCACTCTTTTCCAGGAAACTTGTTCTCAGAACTCGAGGGCTCCCAGTTACTGTCCTACCGCTTCCCCACAGGCAGGTTTCTGGGATGTGCTCTCCATTCTCATGTTACCATGTCCTCACTTCCTGTTTGCTTGCCACGTTTCCTGCTGGCCGTCTTTCCCACCCTCTACTGAAAACTTCCAGCAGTCTCCAAAAACCAAACCAAACCCACTGCCATCAAGTTGATTCTGACTCATAGGGACCCCTGTTGGGGTTCTATTCTGGTTCAAGAATATACCACCAATGGGACGGCCTTAACAGGAGTTTATTCTTACAGTTTGGCGGCTTTAAGTCCGAGTTCAAAGTGCCATGCTCTATGGGCTGTGTGAAAGCCCCTTGACCTTGGGCTGCAGCTCTGCCTCTTGCTCCCAGTCCACTGAAGCTAGAGGCATCTCTTCACTCAGGCAGCTGCTGGCTGCTGAGGCTGACAAGCCCAAGGTCACCAAATAAAAAGGCACAGTCCCATTGTTACCAAACCCCACAGCAGGCCATTAATTCAAGTCCATTGTAAGTCCCAAGGTCGGCAGAGCACGGCAGGGTGCTGAATGACACGGCGATGTGCAGGGTTCAAGTGTGCCATGAGCTAGAGACCATTCCCCAAGGCTTCTGCTTATATGCGGGAAGCAGACCACGTCCCTACACCAGCTACTCAGCTGCTCTCAGTAGATTCCACCATGGAGCTGATTACCGTCTCATCGTGGGGAATACTACATCCAGCTGCCCAGCCACTCAACCAGGCCCAGCCAAGTTGACAGAAAGTGAACTACCACAGGTTCCAAGGCAGCAAATCTTTACAGAAGCAGATTGCCTCATCTCCCTTCTGCAGAGCGGCTGGTGGGTTTGAACCTCCAGCCTTCTGGTTAGCAGTCACATGCCTCAGGCACTGCAACAGCTGTCCAGTGGACTCTTCCGTCTTACCTGACCTGTGCAGCACGTGACCCTGCTGACCACCTTGTGCTTCTTATGACTGTTCTCCGAGTTGTCCAGCTACTTCAGCCGCCTCTCAGATCGGAGCACGGCTCTCAGCCCGCCCCGTCAGCATTGCTGGGCCTGCTTCTCTCTC